GATGGGGCAATCTACTTCCATAGTGGTACTGCCTCGGAAGCCCAAGGAGGGGTCTCTATGAGTCGGGTCCGACTCGATGGCACACAACAACAACATGGTTATAAATGCTATAACTTTCTGAATGTTTTACCCTTTGTCATTATAAATGCCCCTCTCTTTATTCCTAGGTTTTTTTTTTTGTTTTTTTTTTGGTCTATTTTTTCTGATGGTACAGTCACTCCAACTGTCCTGTGCTTATCTGTATGAAATCTTTTTCCACCCTTTTATTTTTGATCTATTCATATCTTTGAATCTAACCTGTTTTTTGCAGATAACATATATTTATGTTCTGTTTTCTTATCCAGTCTGACAATGAATGCCTTTTGACTGGACTGCTGGCTACAATACAGATTAAACACAGATTAAATTTTTGCATCAAATTTGGGAGATTTTCCATCATTATTTTTCGTATATTTTTCTGTTCTTTCTCTCTCTCCTCTCCTTCTAGTACTCCCATTACGTTTTTAGAGCACTCTTAGACATGAACTTCTCTGTACACTGTTCCAACTAAAGTCAGTTTCTTTGGGGAGGGCTTCAGTGCTCTCTGTTCTCACAGGCTGTGCTTCTCCCTTAGAAAAACCTCTGTGCTGTTGTTCCAGAGCTGGGGACAGGGGTGGTGGCCTGCTTCTCTTTGGGAACCCCTCCTGCTTTATGAACAGGGGGCTGCAAAGATGTGGTAACCTCTGGTCTTCTCAGCCTGCCTCTCCTGTCGTGGAAACTCTACCTTATAAGAAAGCTGGGAAACAGTGATTGTGGCTCTCGTATTCTTAGACTGGTGTGTCTCGGGTAGAGATTCCAGCCTGTGAGTGGGAGATGGGTGGAGGAGGAGAGCCCCAGACTTCTCAGCTGCTCTTGCCTTGAATTGAGTTTCTGCAACATGGGGCTGTGGGGAATGAGAAAAGTTGGTGACCTGCCCCTCTTAGGAGGATACTGTACCTTTCAAGTATGAGCTTAGGGAAGAGGGACTCCTGTGGCCTTCATTGCACCTATTTGGAGTAGAGCTTCTGCTATGCTGAACTAAGAGGGAGGTTGGAGGTATCAAGGCTACAGGGCCACCATCTCTCACTTTCTTACCAATACTTAGTAGATATATATTTTTTTTAATAAATGTTTCTTCACTTTCTAAGTGCCCTTAAGGCAATTTCAAGACACTTTTAACTTATTCTTTAAAATAAATTTTCACAAGTTAGGGTTGTATTGCTAGGGAGAGGGTCTGTGGAGTTCAATGCACTGCAATTATACAAGTTGTCTTTCTGCACCAAAAAACATTTGGAAAATTAATTTATAACTGAGCAGTAGCAAATTTTCTAGTTACTTAGTAGAAATTATCTGCATTATTAAAGCCTTATTATTTATGGCCATTCATTGCGAGATTCAAAAAAGAATAAATCTACTCTAAAAGGACTTTTATATTAGCAATAATCATAAGCAAATGAACATATTATGAAGTAAACTCCATGAGAGGTGAATAGATTTTTAACATCATGGTGGTGGTGGCAAGCATATTACTGTGTGGATAAATATCCTGACAGTCCATTTTACAGTATATATCACATACTGAAGGAGTTCTGGTTAGCATAGCGCCTAAGGCACTTGACTGCTAACCAGAAGGCTGGCGGTTCAAATCCACCAGCCACTCCTTGGAAGGAAGGTTGGGTGATCTACTTCTGTAGTGATACCGCCTCGGAAACCCAAGGAGGGGTCGCTATGAGTCGGGGCCGACTCGATGGCACATAACAACAACAACAACATCACATACTGACATTAATTATAATTTTACTATATAACTTAAGATTCTTTTTTTAGTTTTGTTATATTTAACATCTTTAACTACATATTAGGGGAAAGCATTGATGACTTTGTGCATTCTGTGGAACACCAGAACATAGCTTTGGAGGTGGATGCATTGGGAACTAGAGATGGCACCGATGACCCATCTTATAATGGAGCCCTCATAGTGTCTGTTAATAAAAAGGTAAGCTGGACTCTGTTGTGTGCTGTTGAGTTAATTCTGACTCTGAGTGACCCTATAGGGCAGAGTGAAACTGCCCCATAGGGCTCCTTAAGCTGCACTCTTCATGGGGGCAGATCAACAGGTCTTCTATCCTGAGAAGCTGCAGGTGGGTTTGAGCCACTGACCTTTCAGTTACCAGACAAGCACTTAACTGCTGAACCAGAAGGTAACTTTTCTCAAAGGTGAGGAAGGCTGTTTGAATATACTATCAATAGACTTAGGTCTCCAATTGAAGACACTGGAATGAAAAGCATTTTTCATTTATTACCTAATGAATTATATTTGTTGGTATAATAATTAAAATTAATGTATATATCAATCATTGCTGACCAAAACAGAGTATATTAGCAAAATCATACCATAATATCTACTGCCACGTCTCAAGAATTTATATTTCCTGAAAGATTTTATAATACACATATTCTGAAGCTTCTGTTTTGTTCTTGAATAATACGCATTCAACACCTGGTTTTGTGAAGCCTTAGGCTAGAGAGCTGGTGTCCTGAAAATCAGACATAGCCTGTATATATATGTTTTGTTTTAATTATTTGACAATTATGATTTTTTAATTAAAATGTTGAAGTTTGAGCAATTTAGAAAAAAAAGGATTTTTGAGAATTTATAACTTTCTTTGTTTTATCTTAGAACTACCACTTTTCATTAGCATGTAATGCCAAAAGATTGAATTGCTTCCCAGTTCTTATGGATGTTGTTAGCAATGGGCTACTTGGCATGTTTAAACCATCAGCACATATCCAAACTGAAAGAAGCACCTTTTTTGTGGTAAGTATATAATACTATAGACTCTAATCCATTAGGAAGTCCTCAGTTTTCATTTTTCAAAGTTTCACTATTTTGATGCAAAGTAGAACAGAATAATTAAGTATTCATGTGAAGAGCATGTGAGACAATAAAAGTGGGATTCTAGGAGCACCATGAGCAACACGTGGCCGGCACATGTTACAAGGGTGACGTGCATAAAAGGAGGTAGAGATGGATGGATGGATGGATGATAGATGATGAATGGATGATGGATGGATGATGGATGATGGATGGATGGATGAGGGATGATGGATGGATGGATGATGGCTGGATGCATGGATGGATGATGGATGGATGATGGATGAT